AGGAGGTGTGCAGGGGTTACATGTCCTTCCACTCAAGTTTCAAAACTAGTCACTTGATCTCATTCTAAGGGGATAAAAGTTGAGCATGATAGTTTTTGCCACACCATACCTTATTTCCTAGGAAAAAAATTAGCAACATCTATTCTCATGCTAAAAACAAACAAACAAACAAACAAAAACCGAATAAACAAAACAACTAAATGGCATAGATACAGGAAGTCAAGACTGCTTACACAGGATTGTCCAAGTATACCTGCTGGGCTTTCTGGCTTTGTAAAGTTAAGAAGAAAGCCCAATCTATCTCAAGCATGGGAATGGGAATGCACTTTTTTTTTAATTGCTACTAAGAGCAGTATTGAATCATTTTAATAGTTTCTCTCAGTCTACAAAATATTTAGAGCACAAAATATAATAATATAGTGACCTTATTTAAATTTTAAAGAGAGCAAAAAAATATCCGGTAAATATTAGGCCACCAACCTGCTATGCTAAATCTTTTTGCTTCTTGGCCTTCAGTAAAATAAGCTCAGTGGTCTAATGCTCTATTCCCCTGTGTTCTGTGGTCCATCATAAAATCTTACTTTAGCACAACTGGCAATCAGTGCTTACATAAAACAAAAGAATAAGTTCCCAGGCAGAAAAAAAAAGCTAATTCTGCTCTCCAAAATAGCTGATTCTTTCAAAGCAGAATAGATATTACCAGAAAAACTATAAGAGACACGGGTAGGCCAACGTGTGAACTCAGTACTTGTGCAGTTAAACAACCATACTTGGATCCCCATTCAACAGAATAGCGGACAAACACCACACTAAAAGATTATCCTATGTAATCACTGTTTACAAAATAAATCCCTGTTTCCATCTAAACAATGTAGAAAGTTTAAATTATAATATGTTTTCTACTGCTATTTGGCACTGTATTAATAGGGTGACCACTTTGCTTGACCTATTTGCTGAAATTTGCTAGAACTCCAGGAGACCATATGGATAGCCAGATGGGTTGCTGTAATTTAGTGCCATTATTCTAAGGATAAAGTAAGAAATCAACATAATTTGCATTCTTTTCCATTGTTCCTGCTTACCTTTTATTAGTTTCATTTTTAATTCAGACATCAAAAGAAAAGATAATACCTTGCTACCAAGGCCCAGATGCCAACTAATTACTACAAGAGACTCCAGCCCTGACATCACAGGCCAGGCCTGAGAACACGCTCCATCTTACTCAATGACCCCACCATAGTGATTAATAGGTTGAGTGCTAAGCCCTAATGAGTGTGTCAGATCTTAAATGTTCTCCAGGCTAATGTAATTAGCATTATGTTGAACAGAATATTTCAGTTGCTTGGTGGAGAGTCATTATACTTCATAGTAAGTGATGTGCCTTTTCACCTCAAAGACCTCATATGGTCTTCAAATTTATAATCATCAACCAAAAATGCTTCTCTAACATGAAGATCTTTCAAAACTTACAGAGAAATATGTAAATATTTTTCAATCAAGCATTGATGTTTTCTATAGCAGTAAACCCATACATTATACATAAAGTGAGATGATTTTCAAATATACTTGTTTAAAAATGCAAGTTTCTGGACTCTAGCAACAAAAATTCTGGTATGAGGGGATTGAGGATAAGGCCTACAATTATACATTTTTAACAAGAGACCCTCTATTCCCAAACAGAAAAATCTATGGACTGCCCTTGGAAAAAACACTGCAATCTGAGTAGCAGAACTAATAACCTGCACCTTAGAGTAACTGAATCTATCAGGCTTTTTTGTTCTAAATGGTTATTTGTGTTTCTGAAAAAATCATGCACACTCATAACAAAGACTGTTTTCACATTGGGATTATAGCTTAAAATGTGCAAATTAATTTTTTAAAAGATTAAAAACTACCAGGATAATACATTAATTTTATTTCCAACAAGCCATGTAAATGCATGAGATCTAGATCAGACGGTAGATATAGCAGTTATAATCATCTCTACCCACTAAGCAAAGAATCTGAAACTATATTTCCAGTTTTAAGGGAAGGAAAAAAGGGTAGCAAAATTTCTGAAATCCCCAACTTTCTTCCATGATCACAGATGACATACCAAATGTTTTGGCCATGAAAACTGAGGAGTTTGGAAAATACTCCAAGTACTAGGATCTCACCTAGATATTACCATCATCAATTACTAAACACTAAATATTTTCACATGTTTAGCATTGCTTTCTTGAACTACTGGAAGCAAATATCTGTCAATTTTTAACTTAGATGAATTTTATTCATCTACTATCCTAAATAGTTTAAGGCAACTTTTTAAAAATTTGTAACTACCAAACTATCATTTTATTTATGAATTTCAAAAAATCTTTTTTGGACCTTTTTGAGTTTTTACCATACATTTTAAAAAAGAAAATAAATGCATAAATAAAAGGGAAAAAATATTAATGGCAAATATAATGCAGGTATTTACTTATCATTTCATACCAAGTTTTAGTGGTTTGAGGAAATTAAAATTATATTTTATAGTGATTTAAACTCATATCATTCTTCATTTCTATGATGCTTTTATATTCATCCAGGGAGTAGAAGGCTGTCATATGTCCATGGCAAGTCCATAAACCCATTCTCCTTTTGTTTATGAAAAATGAGTGGTGAGGTATAAAGTTCAGTCCAGCAATGGCTGGATGCATGCAGCTCTGAGTTTTCCTCTAGAATTCTGGCCTTTCCCATAGTCCTTAAATCTAGGTAGGGAAGTTTTTTAAGAGTTCTGACTCATGGGATGTATGCATAAATGAAGTTTATGATCATCCATGCTGTCTACCTTTGTTTTGTCCAGCAAACAGAGAAGATTGAAAGAATAATCTACAAAGACTTAACTGATGGCATAGCCACAAGATGAAACACTGCTGAGTAAGAAACTAATCTACCTTGCCTTAAGCCACTGAGTCTTTGGCTTTGTGTGCAAAAAACTAAGTCAAGTCTTAATTTAATAGCATCAATTTTTGTCTTATCTGTAAGTTAGTCAACAATTTGGACAACATAAAATTAAGAATGTAATAGGACCTGAAGTCCAATTAAATTCAATATAGTGACATTAAGTCACTTAGAAGGTTCTTTTTTCATTGTATTTAAGAGGGGGAGGGCTAGGGCTATAAATCAGTGGTAGAGCGTGTGCCTTGTACATGTGAGGCACTGGGTTCGATCCTTAGCACCACATAAAAATAAATAAAGGTATTGTGTATTTAAGAGGGGATTGAAACATTACATTCCTTTATATTAAGAGCTTTTGGAGCTCAAGTTAAGATGACTTGTGTGTTGTTCTAGCAGAGCATTATGAAAGAACACCTCACCCTCTGGCTGAAAGAACAAACCCCAAAGCACAATATTTCTTGTCCTTTTTCATAAAAAAAAAATTGCTAAATGCTTACAGCAACTATACAAAAGAGATTTTTAGAAAGGGTTTTAGATGCAGATTTTCTTATTGACATGTCCAAGTAGCATTCTGAAGATACCACTTAGGTTAAACTGATGTATTTTTATTTTAATATAACTAGTCCCATGTTGGATCAATCTAAAATTATTGATAAATAAAAAATAGAAAACACCAATATCAACATATGTGTGTATGCACACATCACACACACACACACACACACAGTAGGATTATTTCAGGATTTTTTTTTACGTTGATAGTGCAATGAAAAGATAGCATCATTAAAAATAATTATTATGTCACTGAACAAATGACCTTGGTGGGTGTAGTACATAGTCACTACATTGCAAGGAAGGAAAAAACATTGCATTGGGCTTGTAGAAGGCCTGAGTTAGCTCTGACTCTGTCGTTTTCTAGATGAAAAGAGGAAGATACGAGAAAGGCAGAGAATACAGTGATTAAATATTTGAAGTACCACTTTTATCAGCCACTAGTGAAATGTTTGACTCAGTAAAGCTATTTTATCTCTCCATTTCATCAGCTAGAGAGAGAAAATAACATTTATTTCATAGGTTAAGAGGATTAAGTCATACCCTGTATATCAAGTGATGAGGGAGGCCCTGGCTGAAACTAAATATTAATAAATATTGGACACATAGCAATAATGTTATATCTCTGTCAGTAAGAGCCACATCATCTTTACTTCTAAAATTAAAAAATGATACTAATTTATATGATTTGTTTAAATTCTTATATTCTGAGTCCATAATTGTATCTTGCAGTTAAAAATCCATTTGGAAAATGAAAACTCTAAAATCCATGTATTTTAAGTAATGGCTTTAAAAAAATTTGTAAGTCAGTCTGGTCTGCTAAAGAGACTGATTTAAAGATGACAAGCCACATAAAAATGTACTAATTCCATTTTTTTTAACATTCAGAAGTGAGATGATATTTTGATATATTCATTATTCCTCATGACTCATACCCATCATTAAAATATAGAATATAAAAACATGTTATCAGGCAACCATTTAAATAAAAATATGTCATATTTAATGAGACCTATAATAATAAGGAATTGTTTCTTACCTGATTCTGAAAGACTCTAGAATGTGAATAACACTCCATTTTTGCAGTGTAAGGTAAAGTACTTTCAGAGCTTATGAATTGTCAGCAACTTAAACAAGTTTCCTTCTCATTCAAAAAAAAAAAAAAACAAAAACATTTCTCCCAGCTAGACCAATAAAAAGAAATGATACTAACACTAGTGCAGCTTTTATTCCAATCTAAATAGAAAAGTATTTACCTTGAAAATTTCATAAGTTAGTAAATTTTGAGTTTTACAAATAAATTTTCATTCAAACAATGCCAGAGGCTCAAAATGAATAGTTTGAGATATTGGATTAAAATCATTTAAAATTTCTTAGTAATACTTTTGATTGGTTGTGACTGTACCATGAAAACAGGGCTTTAATATATACCAGGATACTGCATATAAATCACACGGTAGAACTATGGCATGAAGGAATTGTTTTCCTAATCCAGAATTCTACTTAATCCAAGACAAGAACCTTACCTCCTGCATACATAACAGCCAGCATAATGGATGATATCCATGCTATTTCACTGTACGTGGTGTGGAATATTTGCTGAATTTCTTTGAAGAATACTGTGACGGCTTTGGGGAATGCATATGAAAATCCAATGGAGATAAAAGATGCTCCAACCACAACCCAGCCCCATCCTCCATCAGGAGGTGGGTATAAAGGTGGGGAACTTGGCATTGGTGGCATTTCGTTCCTGTATTTCAAATTCAAGTAACCTACATACACACAAAAAAATGAATAACAGTTTAACCTTATTTGCATTTTTGTATGTCACTCTTGCTAGTTACTAAAATAGTACTTCCCAGTTACAACTACAATACAATTTTTAATGAATATTTTATACTCATGAATTCAGAAAATCTATGAAAAGTAATATGAAATATATAACTTGGACTATTATAAACTAAAAATTGAAAGCATTTAATTTATGGGACAAAAATTTCTTGAAGTGAAGTTAAGAATTTAGATCTAAATCAACCAAAAAATAAAAACTATTTCAATTTTATTTCCAAACATAAAGAAAATGAAACTGCCACCACTTAAAATAAAATACTTTTTACATTCAAAATATTGACTTTAAAATTATGTATACAAAGTTTTCAAAGGACTAGATAATAAATATAAAGAATTATAAAACATTTAATAGGCATACTCTGGAATTTTTCTATTTTTAATAAGTGATAGTTTGTAAAATCATTTCTGTTTGAATCTATTTTCTAAACTATTAAACTAAAAATTATATGCTTCTGTGGAATTATACTAGTTTTAATATACTTCTAATACTGGTGCTACCTACCATTTTATGAAAGATACATAAAATAAAATCTCCGAAATACATTTGTTTGTTGAGGCTTTAGAACATCCACTTTCCCATGGAAGAAAGTAATATAATATTAAACCACATGATTAAGTTAAAAATATTTGGTTCCTTAGTTTGTTGGTTTGTTTTTGGAGAGTGATGTGGCTTGCTTAGTTCTTGGATATATACAATTGCCACTACTTTAAGTATCTTCTTTAGATTGAAATACAATATCTTCTATATGTAGATATTCCTTAATTGAAAGGTAGAGGGAAAAATCAGAAATAATTGAAAAAAAAAAAAGACCTAATTTTGCCACACATTTTCAGAAAATCTAGCTTGTAAAATGACTTATTTTTTTATTGCCTACTGTTATTTCACTTTTGGATGATTGTGAATATGGTCATAACTTTCTTTTTTTGCCTAAAAATTCATATTTAAGGTGCAAATTAAGACATTTTAATATGCATATACAGAGTGAACTGATCATTACCTTCAATTTAATTAACATATCTCCTCATATAGTTACCATTTTCATTTCTGTTTTTGTTTTTTGTTGTTATCAACAACACCTAAAAGCTACTCATGTCACAAATTTCCAGAATATATACAGTATTATTAAGTACAGTCATTGTGTTGTACATTATACAATAAACTTATTCACTCTATAAACTGTATACAGGAGTATAAAGTTTATACTCCTGAACGAAATCTAATTTCTACCATCTACCTCTACTCCAGTAAGTATTGTTTCACCATTAGCTTCTATAAGTTTGAAGTTCTTTAATTTTAAATATAAATGAGACTGTGCAGTAATTTTCTTTTTATGTTTGGCTTGCATCACTTAATATAATGTCTTCTTTGAAACCAGTTTTGAAAATCAGGATTAGTTTATTAAAACCTTTTTGCTCTTACTTGGTGTATCTTGGGTGTTCAGTCTTCAACATTGAGGAATAGGACCTGATCCTTATTTTCTACTTTCATAGATGTTGTGACAAATAAGAGTTCTATTGTGTTATTTTTTTTTAATCACCAGGATCGAACGCAGGAATGTTTAACCACTGAGCCACATCCATAGCTCTATCTATCTATCTATCTATCTATCTATCTATCTATCTATCTATCTATCTATTTATTTATTTAGAGACAAGATCTTAAAATAAGTTGCAAAAAGAGTAAATCAAATTTAAATGATCAAAACCTTCAATTGCCACCATGGTCAACAGAAAACTTTTCTTCTTTTACACTATATATTCTTTTTCAGTCTATTTTACATATATTATTTGCATATTCTTCTTTTGATAAATGGCTTTCTTTAAAAAATATCTCTGATTACTGTTTTAAAAGAAGTTAGGGTATAAATGACAAATGTACCTATTATTCTAGTCGGTACATATAGAAAGCATGGCTCTAGATACAGTAACATTAATTAAATGGAATAGTCTCAAAAGGTCAAACTGCTCATTTCTTAACAGACTTAAATGTATGACATTCAAATTAACCAATAATTCAATTAATGAACAAAGAATCTACCTCAGTAAATATTGACTATATATTTTGCTAAGTGTGTGTTTATTATCTTCAGTAAATACGTACTTGTTCAATTTAGTTTTCATAAATACCCATTAAGGTACTTTATTTTTTTAAATGAGAAAAATCTGACATATTAAGAAAGTAGATCTAAGTAAAATAATAATATCAGGGAATAAATTTCACTAATAACTGCTGACATAAATAGAATTAGTAACATAAATAGAAATAGAAATAATGGTAACATTCAAAAATAAAATGAAGCAAAATAAACAAACCAAAAGAAAAACCTAGGCATTTTTGCCACATTTTCTTTGAATATCTATAATATTCTTAAGAATAAAAATAATCAATAACATTTGATTTTCAAACATTAAGAAAATAATTTGAAAAATTCTCTTCCCTAGGGACCGTTGGATGATTTGGATGTTAAGTATCTCCTAAAGATTCACATTGTAAAGGCTTCATTGCCAGCATCTGGTGTTAATGGGAGGTGGTTGGACCTTTAAGAGGTGGAGCCAAGTGGCAGGAAGTTAGTCAGTGGGGGTGTGCCTTTGAAGGAGATATTGGAACCTCAACACTTTCCTCTTTCTTTTCTTCCTGGCTGCCATGAGGTGAGCTGCATTGCTCCATCATTTATTCCTTGTCATATGTTCTACATTACCTTGGACTCAAAGCTACAGGACCTGACTAAGGAGCCATGGGTTGAAGTCTCTGAAACCATGAATCAGAGTCAAAGCAAACCTTTTCTCCTTTTACATTGATTTTCTCAGGTATTTTGTCATGGTGATAGAAAACTAACACAAGGACACATTTTTAAGAAATCTACCAAAAATACCATGGAAAATATTATAACAAAGCCAAGTAAAATGCTTTAACCACAAACTATGCATACAATGCATATCTTGGTCAATCATGATTATCAGGACAAAAACACTTCTATTAAGTTAATAATTTATATTAACTTAATATTTATCAAAGATGCTAAAATTTCCAAAAGCAACCCACAACTTATCAATAATTATTTTTTTTAAAAATATGAATGTTAGCAGTATATTTATATTGTGCTTTTATAATCATTTTTGCTTTCTTGGAAACAATTAAAATTATCCATCTTTTTTTCTATAGTATTTATTTCTCCTTACTCATCAATTTATAACACATGCGCACTAGAAATAATTTCTTTAAAAATCATTAACACTAAGAAAAAAAATAAAGAGGTGGATTTTATGTATTAGTTAAATAAGCTAAAAATGGCAATTGGCCTTTGAAAGTTGTCTAAAGCATCCGAATCAACAGATTACTAAATTTTACTGTATTTTGAAATATTCGATTTTCTTATTGCTTGACAATGAAAAAAAAATTTCTGGAGAAATACTGAAGAAATACCAAATGACATTTTTATGGTAACTACTGTTTATTGTAGAGTGTAAAAACAATTAACAGACTTAAATATGTTATTTAGTAATTTTCCTGCTTGCATAAAAGAAGCCAATACATCTTTCATTATTAATTCATGAGTGTAAATTTTTGTAGTTTTTATCACATCTGCTATAGTAAACACTTAGAAATTCAACTGGATGATTCGGTTTTTAGTGATTTCAAAAGTCATAAATCCCAGCTAGATTCTATGTGTATGCATGTAATCCCAGCAGCTCCAGAGGCTGAAACAGGAGGATCATGAGTTTCAAAGCCAAACTCAGAAAAAGTGAGGTATTAAGCAACTCAGTGAGACCCTGATTCTAAATAAAAATACAAAATAGAGCTGGGGATGTGGCTAAGTGGTTGAGTACCCCAGAGTTCAATCCCTGGGAACCCCCCTAAATAAATAAATAAATTGTAGTTGAATTTGAATGTGAAATGTCAGTCTTTCTGCTAATGCTGAATAATTTTAGGGCTTCAGAAAAATAACAATAGACCTTTTTAATATGATGCTTTCTATCTGCCCTTCCAGATTACTCCTGCTCTCTAAGAAACAACTATTCCAAATTATATGAGAAGCTTTAAATTAATTGTATTTATATTTTTACAGTATATGTATTTGGGCATGTGCTGTCTAGTGTATATATTCACAAACTCGTATGTAATATATGAACTAAATATTTTATATTTTATGTAAGATTTTGATTATAGAATATATATGTATAAGTCCAACAGGCAAAATTTAATAGTAATTTAATGAAGGCATTACATGTAAATCTGTTTTTATTCTATATATTACATACAAATACTTATATTCATAGATTCATTTATAAGTATTCCCAGAAATAGATTTTTGATTTAACATTATAATTTTACATGTAGACAATATTCTTAAAGATTTTTTAATCTGATGTTTTGGAGTATAGAGGATTCTTATTATTCATTGGAGGTATGTTCTATGATGTTATCTTGAACCCAGTATTAGCAAATTCTGAACATTTGCTTGTAAAGGAAATATGGGATTGAGTTTATATGCGACTCCAATCACATTTTCATCAATCAATATATAACCTCATTGATGTGTATTTCCACTTAAAGATGGTTCATGTATTAGCACCAAACTGAAGGTCAATGGCATTGTAAATCATGCCTGAATGAGGCTTATCTAACACAAATGTTTTCTCTATAAGGTGTATCCCAGGCTTCTTGCATTGGGGAACATCAGCAGCACTCTGGCAGGCCATTCTAAACTGCAAATTCACTAACAAAGAGGCACAAAAATGTAAAACATGTGGCATTGAGTAGATTACACAAAGGTTACATGGTTACAGTAGGTAACTGAAACAAGAAGACAGAGTGTTGCCTGAAATTTAAAATTTAAAAACATGAAAAATGGAGATGATAAAGAAAAACAAAATCACCCAGAGTCCTAACACTGGACTAAACTATCACAAACATGTTGGTGAATATTGTACATAATTGTGTTGCAAAACTGGAAATGACAGTTTCAAGTTCTATCAAAATTGAACCTACCAATATGTAACCAATAGAAAAATAAAAACTTCCAACTGGTTTATATATTCATAAATATTTTCATGATCAGATGATGATTCTTCTGAATCACCTTTTGAATAATAATTTTCAATGATACTAAGATACTTTCCCCTGGGCTATCAAGAGCATCTCTACAGAGTGCCCCATCAATATCACCAGCAATTTCTTCCAAGCTGCTCAGGACATTCTATGTTTTGACACCAATATTTTTTTGATCTTAACAGAACTTATCAACAGAAGATATTAAGGAAAAATAAAAAAGAAAGTAGAACTTATATTTATTTATCTAAAGGGCAATAAATGGCTTGTTGACTCAAATATGAAGGAATTAAAATTGACCAATCATCAATTGACTATGCACCAAATTTATATATGCATAGGCCAAGACCCTGTCATGATTGCCACTTTGGCAAAGCTGATGGTAATATGCCATCCAGTGTAAGACATCCTCACTTCAAAGATGTGAAGCAATGTGTTTCTTGAAATTGATGAAATAATGAATACAGCAAATATTTACACTTTTATATGTATGTTCAATATGTATTTTAATGTATATAAATTTAATGTACATAAATAAATGTGCTACATATAGATACATTTCTATCATTTGAATTTATCATTTATTATTTTTAATTCCTAAATACATAGCCACATGACCAGTTTTAACAGTATTTTGTTAGTTACTATTGCCTATGTAATTTTGCTAAACCTAGGGATGGTAGAATGTTCATTGTATCCTGATATTCTAAGTTATATTTCAGAGAGTACTTTTTTCCTGCACTTCTTATTTCAATCTAAACCATAAGAAAATATATACTTTTTGCTCTAAATTAATTGAAAGAATGAGTTCTTTCAATTAATAATTTTGAAACCTCTATAAAATTGTTACCTTCAAATAGCATTTCTAATGGTATATTCAATGTATGTCTTTGCCATTAGTCCAAGATAACAAGTTGTTTACTGTATCTCAAGTTCTCAGCATTGTTTTTGATGTGTAGTAGGACACTTTTAGTTGTAACTACTTGTGCTTGGAAAGAAATTATTTTATCAATTGTACTACTTGCTGTAATTTTCTCTCTGTAATTATAATTTTAGCTTTAAAAATGAATATGTTCACTTCCAAATAACAATGAGATATAATCTGTTGTTTTGCCATAAAATAAGTTAAATATATAAACAAACAAAATGTGGGCTCACATACATTTGATTGAGATAGGTTTTTTTTTTAATTTAAATGTTTTCTACAAGGAGATAGCAACACCATGTAGCTAACGCTGATAGCAATTGTGGTGTAAGTGCCTGAGAAGTGGCTGACTTTATGTCACAGAAGTAAAAATGCATAGGAATGACTTATGCTAGCTCTCCTTTCCCTTAACTCCTCCTATTTTTACCTCCAATACACACGTGCAAATACACACAACACATGGAAACACAAGCATATACTCATCTACTCTAGGAATTAATAATTTCTACATATGTCATTTATCAAATGAAAAGTCTTTAACAACTTTGAAAGACAATTTCTGATCTGCACATCAGCCTTCCATAGACAATGAACTACTTCCCATTTCTCTAGATTCTATCCTCCAGGAAGACCTGAGAATAGGTCTGATTTCGTCTCCCTACTACATTCATGTTTTTCTAATGTTCATAGCCTCAAACTGCAGGTTTGATGTTCAGATCATTAACTATTTGAATTTTATATTATTTGTAATAGAAGTCAATCCATTTTCTCAGATGTTAACATGTTTCAATCTTTTCAAAAGCTTTCTTTCCTTTTTATAAAATAGCATTATTAAATTGAGTCTTTCAATTTTTTTTTTGTTTTTGTATTACTTTTGTCACAGTTTATCAGTTCACTATCTTAGTCTATAATCTTTTATTCTCTGTTCCCCCCATATTTCCTTGATTTTAATTACAGTTGCATGCTCCAGATTGCAAGTCACCACTCATATGCCTCTTCACTTTCTTAACCTAGTACCTATTTTGTTTCTTTCACATGACGCAACATCTTCTGATCTCTTAACTAACTCATTGGAAAGTGGGGCCAGATCAATTAGCCCTTGGAAAGGTTGTCGCCAAGATTGTCATCTCTTCCTTATTAGCAACTCTTGAGTTGATGAATACTCAGGATACAGTTCAAACACACTCTTTGGCCTCATGATTTCTTCCTGTGCACAATTCTGTAATATTTTATACAACTGGTGGCTGTTGTGCTTTGTTCCTTTCACTTGTGGGTGCAGCCAAGAAAAAACAGAGTTTAAAATATACTTTTACCTGTTGATAGATGACCTCTTGAATAGATTTCTTTGGGTTTTTTGTGGAATCTTTTAGCCTAGTCGCTTTGTGCTGAAGTGCAATATTTGAAGGCAAAGCAAAGAAAGAGAGGTAGACAGGCTCTGCGTTATCTAAAGAAATAGAAAAACAAGTGTTACATGTATAATTGAATTCCACAGCCTCAATGATGCCACTAGCATTAACTAATTCTGATAACTGTGACCATCTTTTAATAATTAGTAAAATTTAATATGCTTATATATGTATGTGTGTACATCTATATATAGATAGAAAAAACTGACTCTGAGAGAGAGAGAGAGAGAGAGAGAGAGAGAGAGAGAGAGGATTGATTTGATGAGAAAATGTGTGCATGAGTGAAAAACTATAAGGTAAAGAAGAATCAGACATATATATATGACGAATATATATATATATATTTATACACACATGTATACATACATGTGTACATGAGTATATTGTATATCTTTCATTATGAAAAAGAAAATTGATTGGCATTGTCATTCAAGTAATTCTCTAGACCCATTAAGGTACTGAACAGATTGCTATAAAATTCAACTAAACAAATACCCAATAACAATGGAAATACAAAGTTTAAAATAACATTATTAAAAATAGCATTGATAATGTATACATGTGTTAGTAATGAGATAAAATGGGCAGTAAACAAACAAAAATGATTTTATGGAACTTCTGTTTCAGAATTAAAACTTCTTTAATCAGGTGTGGGTGCTAGATGAATATGCTGTCTATGACACATCAAATATGTTTATTTCAACCTCAATATGATGCTGAATATGTAGACCTTTAGATACTAAGAGGTAATTTGTTTGGGCCAAAATTTCATATGACTGAATTAAAGTTAGGAAGGAGTCAGTTCTTTTAATTAAATAAACAGTCACATGCCTGGCACCCAGAGCCACATGTTCTAAAGTCCTGAATGAAGACAACAGTCACCAGGTGAAGGGAGGTTTATATTAGAGGATGGAGAAAATGTTATCTAAATGCTAAGTTGGTGGAAACTGACAGTGGTGGCTAGAAAAAGATGAGTAAAGGAATTTGAAAATCACATATAAAATCTTAGAATCTGACAGCAACGGCATTGAAGACAGCTTTGATCATAGCAGCTCCAGTCACACTAGGAACTTGGGAGCCTCTGCAGCTTTTTTAAGGGGGGCGCTGTTAATTCAAGAATGCAGCCTCATCCCACCCTCAAGTACCATGCAAAGGAGGAAGACCTTTATGTTTTGAACAAATGTGTTTTCTATTCAACTCCTCTGGAGAGAGAACTTCTCTGGGTTCAGGGCAGAGCCTCAAGGGAAAGTGGGAGGCACATCTGAAAACCGGGCCCTCCTCCTTTAGTCTATGTTTGATTACACTCAATTTACACACGATTTTAGGAACCAGAACAAAGAGATTTTAAGAAGTTCAAATTCTACATGCTCATCATTTCTATGAAATTTCACACTGCCTTAACGAGACCATTTTCTTCCAGAAAGAGCAACCCATACCCTAGGTTCTTTTCAACTAATGGGGCAATGAGCCAGAAGTTCCCTGCGTGGTAGTTACACTTAGGTTAATTTATGTTACATCTCTTTCTCTACATATCCTAAACTATCATGGTCTATTCTAAACACATCGATATCAACTACTCATGCAATGAATATATAGGTCTTTAGTCTTAAAAAGGAAAGGTAGTGTTTTAGAATCTCTGCATCTAACTAAAAAATCCAGTAGAATATCAACTTTTTAGCAAATGGAATGACTTTTTTTTTTTAATCTGAGAAAATAACTCTTCTAGGGACAGCTTCCTAAAATCCAAGTAGGCATAAGGCTTATTTCCAACTACAAAAGCCATGTGAATTATTATACCTAACAGATGGGATGTAATAAGTGCTAATTTTGCTTCTTAGCTGTCCCCCTTATATGCCACGTTTTATGACGAACTTTACTTATCACTGGCTGCAAGAAAAATAATGCTTTACATCTTTCAATTTTTGTCTAAAATTTTATTGATATTTGATAATTCCACAGATTCAGAGAAACTGCTATTTTGAATCCCATTTCATAGATGAAGGCATAAAGGATCAGAGGTGCAAAGGGATTTTTTCCAAGTGTATTGTTCAGTAGGTAACCAAATTGGTACCATGACTGCTATCTCTCTATTAGGGTCACTCTGGCTGATTCTACTTTAACACACCAACTTGGAGGCTGCTTCTTCTCCACACAATTACACTTCTTCAGTTTCATTACTATGGTGAATTTTCAAATTCAATTATTACATATCCTTTAGCTATCATGTCCATCAGAATCAGTATACTTACTTTTTGGAATTCAAAAACTACAACTATCCTTCAAAGTAATTTGAAAATTCAACATTTTTTTCTAGCTTATTTATATTTATCAGTGCTTTCTATTATCGTTTTGAGTCTAGAGGCTACAATGTATTGCTATCATTAACAAAAGAAAGGCTTGAAGGCTAATAAAAAAAACCTGAGTATTTCAAGTGATTTTCAACAACTTATATGATAGAACACATACTAATGCCCAAGAACTTTTTCTTGTCTTCTGTAATTAATATGGGTTGATAAGTTAAGTTGATTAATTTATGGAAAAGATGCAGGATCCAAAAGTAATAAAACTATTAGCAATGCTAGACTCTAGTTTTACTCAAGACTCATTTAGTTGCACAGAATATTGAAATATTCCTCTGTTAACCTTGTGAATAATCCTTTCTTCAATTTCCCAAACCTAAACAAGCATGCATCAGTTCTTGGAAGCCTTATCAATAGCCTACACTGTCCAGAAGTTTATCTTTCAATATACTGCCTAGAAATAATGTACTCAGAAAACTAAGTACCAGATTAAATCAATATGAGCTAGGAGACTATTGACTTCACCATAAATTCATCTGGATGCTCTACATTAAAGCACATGTCTTCTTTCACATCTGACCTAAACAGTGTCCTATGTTTGTACCTGAACAAATTAATATGTATTTAAAGAATAATAGATGGATCTTTTTACTTTCTTACACAAAAGAATCTAGCAATGTCAAACTAATGTATGGTGTTTAAGTTTAGGAGACAACTTGCCCAATTTTATAACAGGAATTAAATTGAACCAAATCTTTTCTTTTCTAACTTGTAATTGAATTAAAATTGGAATCTAGTCCTGGGAGACTATTTTATTGTTCAGAGTAAACCATCTTTTCAATCTGTTGGACTGATTTACTTTGACATCCAGGCAAGAAAGATATCCATCGAGCATGGTCCACACAATGTCATTAATACAAAACCTATTTTTAGATGTAAATTACTGCTGTAGTTAAAATGACTCTGAGAATTCTAATTGATAATAAGGATCATGCTCACTAACATTATTTTAGAATTGGCCAATTAGGAAAAATAATGTGAACCAGCATGTGATTATCTATGAGAAATTGGAGCTGAAACTTTCTAAAAACAATTCCCATATTTTCTAATATTTTAATTTTAGAACTGTGTAAAAACACCATTTAGAGCAAACTGAATGGTGACCATGTCCATATCCAAATACTCAGAACCTATAATCTTACTTTATATGGTAAAAAATATGATTAAGTTAAGGATTTTGACAGAGAAACATATTGGATTATCCAGGTGGGCACTAAATTCAAACACATGTACTCTTACAACTGAGAAAAGCAGAGTGAGTTGAGAGTGACAGACATTAAAGATGACAGAAAAAGATGTGTTGATATGTAGATGGCGGCAGAATAGGAAGAGAGGTGACCACAAGCCCCCAAATACCAAGAACAACTACTGACATCAGATGTTAAAGAGGAGCAGTCTCCCACAAAGACTCCTTAAGAAGTTTCGTCCTGCACCTGGATCTTCAGAAATTTCAGAATAAATTTTTATTAGTCTAAGCTACCAAGTTTATAGTAATTTGTTACAAACCACCCTGGGAGACTAGAACAATAGTGGTGGTATATCATTTTTAAAAGTCATGAACAATCAATTGCACTGTAAGGATTTTCTTCCAGGCACAATTGCTTAAGCATACCAAGACATGCAGAACGTCCAGAGAAAGTCACCATCAAATGGGGAAATCATTGTACATTCACAACAAAGTACTATTTGACACAAATGTAAAAGGAATGGAGCAGATCCGAACATCCCAAAATGTAGCGCTTTGACATGCTGAGCTGGAGGATCAATATCTTTCTGACCTCCACTCTTCCACCACCGGCTATTTTTTTCTCTTGATTCTCTATTTTCCAAAGGCATAAGGAAAACTTTGTTCTGACATTCTCTTATTGGCCTTGAAACTGGACTTGCCGAAGAAAACACAATTACCTTCTTCTTTCTCCCTAGTATCTAATTATCAATGGCAGAAAAGACCACTGAGGAATTTATACCTAGATAGAGTTTTGTCACAAGATGTCTATTTTGGGGGTTCATTCAAATTTCTAAAAGAATCATTTAAAAGCTAATCTTTTAAATGTCTTTTAAATGTCTCCCTTATTAGGGAGACATTCCTCCTTCCTAATAACCATTTACTACCTCTCAAAAAGAATGCAACATTCCCCTACATGTCCCTGTCTATGAGATAGATACCTAAGTGTCCACACCTTACTAATATGGTCAATAATCACACTCCTGGGATTTCCCACTGTTCATGTGAAATAAATTTGTAAGTCTTTTTCTCCTATTAATCTGTCTGTTGTCAGTTCATTCCAGTAAAACTTTGGAAGGAGCAGAATGAGATTTCTCCTCACTTTTGCAGTGTGTGTGTGTGTGTGTGTGTGTGTGTGTGTGTGTATGTATGTGTGTGTTATAAATACACACAAAAGAATATAAATATATATATATATAATATACTCACAAAAGAATATAAATTATTCAGAACATGCATTAAAAACTACTAATAGCAAGTAGCTTTGGAAAGTTGCTATGTATGATTTGTGCATTTTTGGAATGTTTAAATATTGTAAAATGAATACATCTTATTTTTCTATTAAAAACTTCAGATAAATGCTAAAATACAAAACAATATACACACATGTTTTCTAATATGTTAAATTATTCTTGCAAGTACTTCTATTTATAATACAAGTCAAATTTTCATA